GTAAATCAAAAGTGTGTGATATTATACTGTATAAAAACTTGATACAGTCAGACCTCCCTAAATGCAACCCCCTAAATGCAGCATCTCTCTAAATGCTAACCCCACAATGGGACTTATTGTTTGGCCCATTTATAAAACCTTCCTTAATAAATGCATTCCCGTGATTAATAGCCAATCAGGTTTATTATTTCTATATAAATGCATTAACCATAATCACATCATGATCTTATTAGTGTTTTCTAATTGCAACCCTTTCTAAATGCACGCTCTAGAGCTGGTCCTGACAATGAGTATTTAGAAAGATTTGACTACTGTATATCTAATATTTATATAGAATATTTTTATACAATTACATTTTATATAATCACAAACTTTATATAATCACATGATTTTATACAGATGTTTTTTTTATTATTAAAAATACTTTTATATAATCACAATTATAGCACTACTGTATCACTATTACTTTTTTTTTATTTTTTTACTAATTTATTAAAAACAATACTTCTTAATACTATATTTATAATTTTTTTATTGGCTTACAATACATAATTGTAATTGGCTAGTTAAAATATAAACTAATAATGATACTGTATAAAATTATATACTAAAAACTTTTAATTAAAAGTTTAACAGTAGTAATAAAATTTTGAAATGTTTAAATTTTTAATTTTTTTAATTTTTTTAATTTTTTTAATTTTTTGCTTTATTGTTAATATAGCAACCCGCTATATAGTATTTAACAAAATTCCAAAATAAATATAAACTAATACTGTATTAGATAATATAACTATTTTTTTATAAAAATAAAATCTTATAGTTAAAGTTAGGGTTAGTATAAAGTAAAATTAAAGCATGGTTTAGCTTATAACAAAAAATTTTTTTATTAAAATATAAAAATAGATTTATAGCTAAAAATTTTGTATTATTATTAAAATTTAATTGGCTTTATAAGATATGGCTATTAGTATTCATGACTACAAATATATTAACTCAATAAATATTATTAGTTTTATATAATACAAACTATTAATTTATAAAAAGATTTCTTTATTTAATAATTTTTGGTATATATTATTTTTAAAGTCAGATATTTATACTGTATTGAAAATTTTACCTAGTAAAAATTATATTGAAAAAAATATTGGTTTTTTTTGAAGGTCTGACTATACAGTACAAAAAGAAAGTTTTCACTTTGCAAAATCAAGATTCCAGATTTTGATTGGATAAATTTCACAGATTTATTTGGCGCTCATATCGATGTCGGGTATAAAATAGAATTAAGTCCTTCTTTAGTAACGAACTTGAATTACACTTGCAATGAAAAGAATCGTTAATCTAGAGAGAACCGAAAACTGAGGTACTTTGATGATAAAATTTTTATTAGATATCACAGTATAAAATATGTACATGCCAAATTAGTTGGTTTATTAAAAAAAAAAAATGCCTTTTTTTTAAATATAGAAGCAATTTACTAAACTATATACAAGAAGCTTCAAAGGTGTTTAATAATGAAAATAGTTGTAAGAACAGTGGATAAAAATTTTTGGAACAATTAACTCTAAAGAACCTCTTTATAACGAACCATAAATTTTAAATTTATATGTGAAGAGAGTGTCATGGGGTTCTTAAAAACATGAAAAATTTTTGAGTTGGCCACGTATATAATATAGTTTACAAATGCAATTTGATTGGTTTATTATCACATGCTCGTCTAATTGTCCAATCATAAAGAGTTATTCAGTTTCGCGTGATCGGTTAGCCTAAATGCAAGATCATCCGTCGATTTTAAATTCAAGGCCCTGGTCAGGATGAAAGGTGTCCATCTTAAATTTTCGGGTTTAATTCTTGGATATCCTTTCGCTTCAACTTTTTGTAGATGATCTTCAACAATTCTTTTATTCACAACAATTTTGTATGTATCATTGATCTCATCTTTCTCAATCATATTATTGATTTGGAGAGTGGCAATAACATCATCGACAGTCATACTCGTCAAATGGCTTAATTCTAAATGGTTTATAAGATATCAGTAATTATAAATGTAACAAAAGATCAATTTTCATATAATGAAGAGTTTTATCCCACCTTGGATACTTATGCGTTTTCTATCTTTATTCAACTCTTCGAACAGCACATTTTTCCAGTAATATCTGTAACTGTGCAACCCAGATTTGGATAAAGGCTTTTCAGGTGAGCCTATTTTATTCTCTCTCTTAGTAAGCAAGTAACCTAAGATAAATGTGAATGATAAGAATTCATGTTCAGACAATATTCGTGATTGGACACTTACTAAATTCTATTAAAAGATTCCCATAACCCTTTCTTTGATGAATTGGAAGTATCAGAATACAGGAAACATTATGATTTCCTTGCGAACGTTTTTCCTAAATGAAATACAACAAACATCAGGTAAATACGATTTATACGGATATCGATCATATGTATGATATAAAAACTAAACCAACAAACTTTAGAAAAATAGCCAACAAAATGACATCCGGTATCATTGGTCTCTGTCATCACATAGAAAAGAAAAGGCTCTACGTCAAAAAATAGAGTCTTGTGAGCGATGAACATTTTTGCAAAAAGGCAAAGGTTTTGGCAATATATCTAGAAAATTTTGAACAATTAGAAAGACATCTAAATCTAGTAATCTGTTGTGATTATTTCTTCATATAAATAAGAAATTAATAGTTCAACCTTATTTTTTCGACCGTCAACTTCAAAAATTGAAATAGGACCATCCCGGTATATTTCATCACCAGGAGGGTGACGCACTGGACATTTCATCTACACCGTTTGATTTATTTTAATTCGGGAGCCGATGACTAAATACAAAAACTCGTAAAAACTGACCTTGTGTCGATCAGCAATAAATTCACTTCTCATGTATTTTAAACAAAATTCGCAAACATATACTAGCGAATTTGCGATATATTCCATTTCATAGGAGGATGCACACCAAGGTTCAATTTCCCATTCCCCGAACCGGATTGCTTCCAGTGTAGGGTCACTCGTAGCAAATACTTGGTGTTGATCCTCAGCATCTATGATGGTTCTCTCCCGAGGTTCTTTTATCTTATGGAAAAAAAAGAGGAATAAAGGCTGTTAATCTTATATAAATACTGTACGGAGTAACTTGATATTACATGATCGTGCAAACCTCTTCGGCTTTAATTTTGGCATTTTCAAACATTGCTTTATCATGATGATCTGGTCGTGTTTTAGACGTATCAGCTTCCTCGGGAGTTAATTTTAAAGCAAAATTTACTTTATTCTCATCATTTTTATCAAATTCATGTGAACCATCTGATGAACTTTCTATTCGTTCGTCCTTGAGAACTTCTTCGGGTGTTGTATCTGAATTGGTATTTTCGGTATCACTAACAGCCGCTCTGTTCAACTTTCTTCGATTTCTCGAAGCACCATTCGCTTTATTCACAAGTGCCCGTTGCCTAATGACACGGGACTTGACCCTCACACCACTAGAATTGTTCAATTCCTTGTTTTTGCCCTTTTTGGTTTTATTCCGCGATCCCAATTGTATTATCGTTACATTTTCTTGTACATCTTCATTGGCAGGTGTTCTATTACCTTTTCGTTTCGATTTATTTGGTGTTGAAATGCCATTTGTTAACGATGCTTTTTCTACCGCGATTGAGGACATTGTCATAGCTGAATTTCTTTTGCCACATCTTTATTTTTTGATGCCCTAGAGCTTCGATCCGGGTCCGGGTCAACCCGGGTCAATCCGGATTTCGATAGTTATAGATCACAAGCTAACGCTAATTTTAATTGGCTAAAAACATTTTGTACTACCAGTGTCAGGGACAGTTAAGGATAATTTCGATTTGCTCTGATTGGTCAAATTTTCAAGTTCATGCATCCCGATTGGTCAAATTAAACTTTAAAATCACTTGACTGCATTCTAGTATATCAGTTACATAATTTGTCATACTAATTTTTGTATTCTATCGCTGATTAGCGGGAATAACTTAGCCAAAGATCTTATTACGAATTCCGCTAATCTGACATTTAAAAACAATGGGTAAGTGTATCATCTATCCTTCTAAGCGTACACCCTTTTTAAATACATAGCTTAATCCCAAGTTTGAAACTGAAATAGCGTACATGATTAATACGTACAGTACGTATAAATTAAATCATTTAATTCTATTAGATATACTAGTTCTAGTAGATATAGTAGAACTACGTAGATGGTAGCAAAAAGATCATAATATTTGAAATATATAAATAGCCTCGCTATCGCTCTTGTAAAATTCTAGGTTCCTAACCTATCAGTTTCTAACTTATCAGTTTCCAACTTATGAGTTCTGAACAGTAGCTAAGTTCAATAACTCAATAAAGAGTAATCATGTCGAATAACTCGAGTAAAATAATAAACTTGTTATATGACTACTTGTATCTTTAGACACTAGTAACAAGTTTGGTTAGTATATATATAGCAAGGAATTAAAAAATCAGACTCGAAACGAATAATTGCTTTCAAACAGTTTTAAGACAACTCGGTTTTATAATAAAGTATGTTCTTAAAAGCATTATAAATAAATTTAATTAGTTACTAATCATAGCAATAACAGAGAAAATATACCTGTTGATATGTGAGCGGATGCCGGAAACTTTTTGTGCGACAAATAAAAAAAAACTATAAAGAACTTTTTACAAATGTGCGCACTACTTACAAAATGTCAATTTTTTCTGTGCGCAAAATTTTGTTTTTGTGTGCTGCGCACAGTCCGCACAGCGAAAAATAATCACTGTATGTGAGTATTAATATATAATAAAAATTAAAATAACAACATATACTGTATATAGTGTGGAATATCTAATCATATCACAAAATAATTGTTTGTAATAAAAGTTTAATAACTTTTTAACCAATAATATTTTTTTAAAAAATCTTTCTATAATTATAGGGATCTACTATTTCCACCATGAAAATTTGCTATTTTCACCATGGTTACATAAGATTTTCTATTTTTAGTTATTTAAGATATTTGAATTTAAACATAAGAAAAATTATTTTTTTAAAAAATTAAAGAAGTTTTTATTAAGTTAGGGTTTGTTGAGCTTCTAAGTAAAATTGTAAAAGAGATTTTTCTGGTTCTAATAGTAGTAAGATCATTAAAATTGACCTTGTAGATCCTAAAATACTTGAAATTAAAGATACAAACATAAGAATTTAATATAAAAAATCAATTTTTTTAAAATTAAAGAAGTTTTTATTAAGTTAAAGATTGTTAGGTTTCTAAGTAAAGTTGCAGAGAAGATTTTTCTCTTGTAGATCCCAAGATATTTGGGGTTAAAGATGTGAATATAGAGATCTGCAAATTGGTAGTTATACAAAGTATTATAGTCTTTAGTATTTTGTATAATCATCAATTTGCAAATCTCTATATTTGTGTCTTTAACCCTAAATATCTTAAATCTACCAAGCTGATTTTGATGATTTAACTATTATTAAAATCAGAAAAATCTTTTTTACAACTTTATTTAGAAACCTAACAAACTTTAACTTAATAAAAACTTTTTTAATTTTTAAAAAATTGTTTTTATTATTAATATTACCGTAAAACTGCGAAATAATGAGCATGGCCGTTATTTCGAAAATCGGAACTTTTAAAAATGACATTTATGATTTCGAAATAGCGCCCATGAGCGTCCCGAAATAACGCGCATCTTATACGAGTATTGTATATGAGTGCCGTCAAAAGAAAACTTACAATCTGGCTTTTAATTATATTTTGTACACAGTTAGCCATCTATCGACAATCTATCATATGACTTTAAATTATATTTTGTGTGATAGATTGTCGATAAATTGCCAACTGTGCACAAAATATAATTGAAAGACA